CCCCCCCCCCCCCCCCCCGCCCCCCCCCCCCTCAGAGGCCCCTACAGCGCTAGGTGGCCCAGAGCGCAGGTCCCCTCCCAGCCCTAACAGCCCTGTTCCTTTCTGTCAGGCCAGCCCTCCACTAAGGCTCCTAGCGATGGGAGGATGGGAGGGAGGACAGGGCGCTGCTGCCTGGGGAGGGGCTGGGCACATGGGCTCCGCCTGGGGAGGGGCTTCTGCTCCTGAGTCCCTGCACCTACATGCAGCCCGTCCTGCCCTGCAGGGGATCAGGTCCGTCCTGCTCCTGGAGGGGGGTTGGGGTGGGTGGGAGAGGTCAGGGCCCGTCCTGTGAGAAGAAGGTGGGACCGGGCCCCTGTTATGTGAGCTCCCAACATGCACTTGGGCTTCAGTCACTTGCTCAGACCCCAGTGCACAGGCCTCGGCCTCCCCACCTCCACTAGCAGGAGGCCTGGAGAACGTGAGCCGCGCTCTCTTTCGCGGTCGTTTATTTACAGCAGGTTATACACAGGCTCCGCCCCCACCCACTCACCCACGCGGTTATTTAAACAAAGAGGCGGGCGGCACGATGACACGGAGCCGCCAGGGTCGGCAGTGGGCTGGCTCCAGCCAGGAGGCTGTGTTGCTGTTATCTCTGTGTGGAGGGGACTTGCTTAGGTTTAGGGCGGAGGAGCAGGCGTGGCTCTCGCCCATCCCGCCAGGAGGGCCCAGCGCCCCGCACGTGGATGGACAGAGGTCGGCCTCGGAGAAGCCTGGCCTTGGTGGTGCAGGGCACGGGCCTGAGTCAGACCCAGCTCTCCCCCACCCCTCGGAGCCCCAGTTTTCCCACCTGGGGCCCAAGGCCAGCGGGCAAGATGGAGGAGACTGGCAGGGACGGGGTCCTGGGGAGCCCCAGGCCGGGAAAGAACCCCGCCCCACGGCCATGGCTCAGCCTGTTCACGGGGCTGCTTCCTCAGCCGCCCACAGGCGCCAGCTTGGGAGTCGCCGCTCACGTCTGGGGCAGCTCTTGCTCTGGCCACCAATGGACTTGAGCCTGGCGCCCTGGAGATGACCCTCCGGGGCCCGGGACTCGCAGGCAGAGGGCCCAGCGTCGGCGATGTTCCCAAAGCTGCCTCCCGGCTCACCGCACCCCCTTGCCTCCCCAGAGCCCACCGGAACGACATGGAGACCATCTACCCGTTCCTGTTCCTGGGGCTGGTCTACTCCTTCCTGCAGCCCAACCCCTTCGTGGCCCGGGTGCACTTCCTGCTCGTCTTCCTGGGCCGCGTGGTGCACACCGTCGCCTACCTGGGGAAGCTGCGCGCGCCCATCCGCTCCCTGGCCTACACGCTGGCCCAGCTGCCCTGCGCCTCCATGGCCCTGCAGATCGTCTGGGAGGCAGCCCGCCACCTGTGACCGGCAGCGGACACCTCCGTGCCAGCCGCTGGCCACCAGCCACCAGGGCCCGGACTTGGGGAACCGGGCCTCCCTTCGAGATGGGGATGGGCCCCGGGGCCTGGCTTCCGGCAGCTTGCTGGGCGTGGGCTCCTGGACCAGTGGCCCGTGTGTGTGTGTCCCTTGGATTCCTGGGTGAAGTGGCCAATTGGGACCGTTTGGATATGGCTGTCAAGATTGATAGACAGTTGTTCAGCCGGCGTGGCTCAGTGATTGAGCATCAGTCTCTGAACCAGGAGGTCACGGTTCGATTCCCGGTCAGGGCACATGCCCGGGTTGCTGGTTTGATCCCCAGTGGGGGGCGTGCAGGAGGCAGCCGATCTCTCTCTCATCGCTGATGTTTCTATGTCTCTCCTCCCTTCCTCTCTGCAATCAATAAAAATATATTAAAAAAAAAAAGATTGATAGACAGTCAATCCCTCCATTCAAATACCAGCTCAGAAAGCAGCACGGCCTCTCTCCCTCCCTCAGGCCAGGAGGAGACAGCTCAGGCTCCTAACCCTCAGGCCCTCTGGGTGCAGAGCTACGGTAAACGCCGACGTCTCAGACCCTCCCCAGAGGTTCTGGTTCGGCCCGTCTAGAGGGGAACCTGTGCACCTGCATTTTTGGGAGCTGCCCCCTGAGCCCCAGCCTTGGTCAGGCCTGGGAGCCAAGCCTGTTCCCTCCAGAGGCCCAGGGCCAGCGGGGTGTGGCTGCCATTTCTCTCAAAGTGGGAGCTTGGGGAGGTGTGTATGGGGGTTCCGCTCCTTCATGCCCTGTGCTCCCCACATTCCTTTGCCGGACCCTCCTCTCCTCGGAGCAGGTGCCGGTGGGAGGGGTAAGGCTGTGGCCGCTCCAAAGGGCTGTCAGTCAAGGACGATGGGCTTTGAGTGACCAACCTCTTAAAGGAACTTTTTGGGTCCTTCCATCTCTGCAAGATTTGAACATTGCAAATGTGCCCCACCCCCAGGGGAATTATGGGTCTCTCCCAGGCTCTTGTCCTGGGACATGGGTGGCCCTGTTCTAACCACTGCGCACCACAGCCTCACTTTCCCTAACCCCGTCCCAGCCCTGCCCTTGACGCCAGCACCTGGGAAGCCTCTCTCTGCCCCTGGGCATATCCGCCTCCCACTACTCTGCAGCCTCTGACTTCGCCCAGGGGACTGATGGAGTGGGGGTGCCTCCTGGGGGCACACTGGGGGCTCAGGGGTCTCCAGGCCTCATTGGAAATCCTCCTTAGCCCCTACCTCGCAGTGCTGGGAGCAGAGCTGGGAGCGGGTAACACTGCCCCCTGGTGGTGACATGAGCCTCCACTCAGGCCCGCAGCTGCACATTTGGAAACAGGAAGGGCAGGATCATGTATTGAGTGCCTGCTGTTTGCTCTGACTGCCCACCCAGGGACTGGAGGGCCGGGGAGAGGCAGGGAGGGGCAGGTGGCAGGAGCTGAGTGATTTTTCCCTGTCACATTCGGGGCAGACGCCGCCCTGCAGGATGGGACAGGGCTGGCAGTGGCCTCTGGGAAGCAGCTGTGCCTGCGTCTCCACACCGGACCGGGAGACAGCCTGTCTCCCGGCAGCAGAGTGAGCACAGCAGGTGAGACGCCTCAGGTACGGACACTCGTTCACCCTCCAAGGCCCTGGTCCCCTAGGAGCCAGCTGCTCTTCCAAGACACCTGAGGGGGACCCTGAGGTCATGTCTGCTGACCTTGGGCACCAGTGAGTTCTGGCTTCATCCCGTCATCTGCATCACACACTCCACCCAGACGTGAGCCGACCCTCTGGGACGGCCTCCTCCCTCCCGACCGGGGTCAGAGGTGGTACGAGGTGGAGATAGGATGCTGGGCAGCAGCCTGGGGGCCGCTGGGCTGCAGCCCTGAGCTGAAGACAAGGACTTTGGGGCTGAGCCCAGGCCTGGGAGGCGGGCGCTGCCCCCGTGGGGCCTGATGTCTGGGCGCAGCTTCTCCTGGGCTGAGACCACCCACAGTCGCAGGTCCCTGAGAAAAATCACTGTTCACGTTAGGGCCTATAGCTTTCCAGACTCTTCCACTATGCATAGTAAATAAATATATATATACACACACACATATATATATGCATGTTATATGCATTGTGCATGCTGTATTTACATATGTGCATATCATGCAATGTGCATGCTATATTTATATGTGTGCATAAGACGTAGATACTTACACTGTTTATACGATAGACATGTATGCATTGGCATGTCTGTGTATCTCCTACAGAGGGGCTGAAGGAGGTCACATCGGCCCACGCTGCTCCCTGGGGGCCCTGCCCCATGGCCACCTGGGCCACAAAGGTTGCTCCTCTTGGTCGCTGTGCCAACCAAGACTTTGAGTAGTTTCACTTTTTAAAGCCTGATTATGAAAGTAATAGTTTTCCCTTCCATGTTCCAATATAAAGTTGTAACATTAAATTGGTCTTTTCAACGGCCCACATCTCCCCAACCTCTGCTGTGTCTGCCGACCGGCCAGAACTTAACCGGGTTTTTAAGAGGTTGGCACTATGGTGTAACCCTCCTTGGAATGCATCTTCGCTGGCGGGGAGGAGGGTGAGCGGGAGGATGCTGCTGCAGGGACAGTGGAGGGAGGGACAGTGAAGAATCCGGGGTAGGGGACAGGGGGGTTAAGGATGGACAGGGAGAGAGGGTGGAGCCTCGCACACCTGGGCTGGTGATGGAACTCTCCTGGGAGGGCCCTGGGAGCCAGAGGAGGCTTTAGACAGAGGAGGGACATGATCAAGGCTGGGTTTTAGGGCAGCCTTGTCGGCTTGTGCAGAAAGGCCTGGAAGGAGTAAAGACAGAGGCTGTGACTATGGTCTGGCAGATAATTGGAGCAGAGGCTTCACCTCCTCTGTAGACGGTCTGGGGTTCATGGGCGGAATGGGGCCAAGCCCACGGTGGGACCCCCAAGCTCCATGCCCACCGGTGTTCGTTTTCTGTGCCGTGTCACAAGTCGCCACAAACACAGTGGCTTAAAGCAACACCGTTTATGACCTTACGGTTTCTGTAGGTCCTCTGCTCGGGGTCTCACAAGGCTGAGGTCTCCTTGGAGCTCAGTGTCCCCTTCCAAGCCCATTCAGATTGTGGGCAGGATTTGGGTCCTTGTGGTGTAAGACTGAGGGCTCAGCGGGCAGCCCACAGCACGGCTGTTTGCCCTTCAGGACCGGCAAGAGAGCACCCCTCTGCTTTGCGTCTCTTCTTCCAGGAAACACCTGGCCCTTCTGTTAAGGTCTCACCTGGTTAGTTCAGGTCCACCAGCATAGCTGCCCTTTTGATTAAGTTGAAGTCAACTGATTAGGGACCTTAATGACATCCGCTCAGTCGCTTCACCTTTACCACATTCTGTTGAGCCCCTGAGCCACGGGTGCCGGGGACCCTGGGCAGGGAAAGTGCGAGGTTCCCCCAGGACAGCGAGTGTCTTGACTTCCTCAGACTCCACCCTTGAGTGTGCTCTCCCTCCATAAACACCAAGGGCCCCATTTATGGAGGGGGACGTGCCAGCAGCCCTGGGCAGTGGCTTAGGTGATTGTCCCCATTTGTCGAGCAGGAGACCGGGTCCAGAGAAGCCCCCGGCCCCGGGGAAACGCTGGTCTTCATTTCTCAGGCTGTGGGTTTCCCAAGAGCCAGGCTGCCTTTCTTTCCATTTCTCTCTCTCAAGTTCCTTTATTTCGAGCAAAAAGTAGAAGCAGATACACACAGCGCCCTCTCCCACACTCCCAGACAAAGGGCGGCAGAGGGAGGCTTCCGGGTCCTCCCAGCCCTGGACCGGCCTTGGGTGCCTTCTCCTCATGGAAAATGATATCCCGGGCCTGGTGCCCGGGAGCTCCCACACAGCCCGTAATGAGGCTGCAATGCGACAGCGATGTTGGCATCTATTTTCTCTGGCAGGGAGGGCCCCTGGCCCCCTCCCTCAGCGCCCCGAGCAACATGTGTAAACAATTAAGCGGGTTTGTTTTTTCTAGAGCGCTTGGGAGGAAATGACATTGCCATCCTAGCGCCCCACGGCGGGGCAGCGCCTCTGTGGGAACCCGGCCCCCGGCTCTTTCCGAAGCTGGCATTCTCGGGACCTGCCTTCCAGGCCTCAGCCGGAGCCCCCTGCCCCCCAGCCCCTCTGTGGGACCCACCCCTGCCACAGGCAGCCCCAACCTGGCCGTGCTTCATGGCACTCTCCCTTTGGGCCGCACATAGAAAGACGGGGTGTGCCTCCCTCTGAGCCCCGAGTCTCTCCTTCCTCTGGCAGCGCCTGGGTGGGCTCCCGGTTCAGTGCTCAGACACGCTCCCTAGCTGGCCCCGTGTGCTAGCCCTCCGCTGTGCAAACCCCCTAGGGGTGGGGGCGGGCGGTGAGTTCCTTGTGAGGGAGGACCCTGCTCAGACCAGGATGGTCCCAGGTCTTGTCTGGGTGGGAGGGCAGGCCAGCATCTTCCAGAGACTTCTACCGGGCAGGTCTCATCTCCAAGGTGACTTCCTCCCATGTGCCGAAGCCAGACCCTGGCCCTCTGGCCTCCGCCTGCTCCGTCAGCCCATCATCTAGGCATCAGCGCGTGTCCCCCGTGTGTTCAGGACGCCACCCAGACCTGCCCATTCTGCCCCCACCTGATTCAGGCTGCTGCCCCCCCTGCCTGGACATCTGCCCCGGCCTCCACACACACAGCCTCCTCCCCAAACAACCCCCCTCCGTGGCGCCCCAAGGCCAGGGTGACATCCAGACTTTTAGATCCGCCCACACAAGCCCCACTGAGGCACCTCCTGCTTCTCTCCTTCACTCCACACCGGGAGACCCAGCCCTGCAACTGGCCCGAAGAGGCAGCGTCTGGCTTGCCCAGGGCCTTCACGTTCGTGTCTCCTTAGCCAGAAACACTATTCTTCCTCTTCTCTTTAACGAACTCCTCAACGTTCACCTGGACACCTCCTCTGGGAAGCCTGCCCGGATGCCTTAGCCAGTGGTTCTCAACCTTCCTGATGCCACGACCCTTTAATACAGTTCCTCATGTTGTGATGACCCCCAACCATAACATTATTTTCGTTGCTACTTCATAACTGTAATTTTGCTACTGTTATGAATCGTCATGTAAATATCTGATATGCAGGATGTATTTTCATTGTTCACGACCCACAGGTTGAGAACCACTGCGAGAAGTTCGGGGCCCCCTGTGCTAGGTGTGGCCCCTGCAGCCAGGGACCCTCTGTCAGATCTCTGCTCTCTCCTCGGGGCCTGGGGTAGGGCCTGCACACAGCAGGGGCTTCATAACGTTTGTTCAGTGATAAATGGCAAACGCAGGCCCAGAGAGCACTTACCTGAGGCAGAAGCCACACTGAGGGAGAAAGCACAGCTCTGACTGCAGCCGCCGCCCGGCCAGGCCCAGGTCTCCCCCCGCTCCGGCCCGGCCCCCGCAGGACGTCACACAGCGAGCGTCCCCACGTGTCCGCACATCGGAAGGGGCCGAGCTCCGCCACCAGGCCTGTTTCCATGGCGGATTCATGGGGGAGTACAAGGAACCTTCAGGGGTGAATTCAGGGAGGAGGGAGAGGGGTCCCCACCTCGCTCATGGCTATCGTCACCATTCCTTCTAGAGCAGGAAGGGGACCATCCCTCACGCAGGCGCGTCCTGTGGCTCTGACCTGTCTGAGGTCACCCAGATGCAGCCTGTGGGTGGGAACGGTGGCCCTTGGGGGACCCTCCGAGGCGGTGCGGCTGGCAGATAGGATATCGACCCATCGGGGTGTGACCACGATGTCACTGTGAGGGCCACCCACCCGGCGGGACTGACCCCTCTGCACCCTGTGGGGTCAGGCCGTGCTGTCCTTCCTGGGGCCGGCGAGGTTACAGAACCGACCTTGACCTTCCCTGCCGGGTGCGCCCCTCCGAAGGGGAGGCGGGGGGCCCGGGGAGGGGCCGCTTCAGACACCCCCTCACCCTGCAGCTTTCTGCGGCTCCTCTTCATGGTGTCATTGCTGGTGGCACGTGTGTCCTCCGTCACCCCAGTTACCGTCTGCAAAAGGGTGGGTTCGGGGCCTGGGGAGAAGGCCTTCTGGTGGCCTTGGCTGTCAGGACCCCTCCTCTGTCCTGTGGGCCCTGGGACCTCCACGCTGCACCCCACCATTTGTCCAGGCCCCTCCCCAGTCCAATGCTCGGGGCCCCACGCTTTTAGTCTGCCCGAGGGCAAGGAAGTCCATGTCAGCATCTGTGCCATCCACCCTGCCCCCAGCCGCAGGGCAGAGGGGCCGCTCCCCGACCAGAGAGGGGAGGGGTCCTGCTCACAGCCGCACAAACCCCGGGGTGTCCGTGTGCGGGGCGGGTCTCGCCCTGCTGTCCCACTCCCCACCCCTGGGCTCTGCAGGCGAAGGAGATTTCGTCCAGGAGCAGCAGACAGGGCAGGGCCCCGCGGGCCGGCCCCCTTTTGTTTGCTGCCCGTATCTGCCCTCCCGCAACCTTTTGGGGCTTAAACAATTTTTATTTCTTAAAGACAAAAGCTATTTGGTTTTAATACACAAAGTAAGTGAGGTCCTTGGTGAGCTCCTGTTCACCCTCCGGCCCAACCCCTGGCAGGGTCACGGCTGAAGTCTCCGGCGGCCGTGGACGAGGGGAGGCGCGGGGCTCCGGCGTCTCAGCGGCCTCTTGGGCCGGGGTCCGGGCTGGAGGGAAGGGCCAGGAGAGCCCGCCTGGCCGGGCAGGGACGGGACAGGAGGAGGTCACTCTCCTGCATCTGCCCGCTCCTCGGCTGTCGACCAGGAGGCAGCGGTCCGGGGGGCAGGGCTCAGTTCACGGTGGGCACCTGGCTGTGGTGCAGGCTGAACTCCTTGGCCTTGAGGCGGAGGCTGGCGATGCTGTTGGCCATGTTGACCCCCGGGGCGGCGGGGCTCGAGCCCCCGGGGCTGTAGGGCGGCACTGTGCTGGGGGCGACAGAAGACACAGGACGTATGTGGTGTGGCTGTCAGCCCTGGCCCCAGCCCTGGCCCTCCTGCCTCCGTTTCTGGCCGGGAGGGTGGGCACAGGGTGTGGGGCTCTTGCGCCTCGAAATCCCATGGGGTTCCAGCTGCCTGAGAGCGACACGGGTTCTTCCTTCCCCTCCAGACAGGCCTCGTCGTCTCTCCCTTCCGCACATCCGTGTGCACATGTATGCACGTGCACATGCACACTCCTGTGCACTCCCAGGCACATGGGTGCACTCACAGCCATGCACACACACTGATGTGGAAACGCACACACTCATGTGCATACATGCTCACACTCATGCAACACAGGCATACTCCTACAACACCCACACGTGCACACTCGAGAGCACACGTCACACACTTGCCCACCGACCACTTGGCGTGTCCCCGGTGCCAGGGGATACTGGAAGGAGCCTGGGCCCTACCACACCCTGGGGACCCCTGGCCACGCCCCTCCTGGCCGGAAGGGGGCTGGCCCTCACCTGTAGGGGGAGGAGGCTGTCCAGGAGAGATAGTCTGGGTTCAGGGCGGTGGGCCGGGGAGCCACGGGCTGCTCGATGGCGGCCTCCTGGCTGTAGGACTTGAGCAGCGAGGCGGAGCGGTTGGCGAGCATGGCCCGCTCATTCCGGCGGAACTTGGCCCGGCGGTTCTGAAACCAGACCTGGGGGTAGGAGAGAGAGGGGAGCAGGGTGCGGTGGCTGTGAAGGGGACCAGGTCCTTTTGGACCCAGCGTGGGCCTGCTCTGCTACCAACCCTGGACTGGCAGCTTCCCCTCTCCGAGCCTCAGTTTTCTCATCTGTAAAGTGGGGGTGCGGGGTGATTCCTGCTGCTGGATGAGTGTGTGTTGGAGAATGGGCATGTGAATGAGTGAAGGATGAATAAGTGAGCACTTGGCTGTTGTGAAGTTATCACGAGAGGTGCAGGCTGAGCGCTCAGCTCCGAGCTGGCACACAGTGAACACTTAACACGTTAAAACGACTTTATCAAACCCCTTTGTGGCAGGCACTGCTCGAAGCACTTTACAAATGTAGTAACTCCCTTTTAAAAAATTTTTTAAAATGTAGTAACTCCTTTAATTCTCAGGAGAACCCTACAAAATACACCCACATGATCCTCATTTTACAGGGAGGCACCTAAGGCTCAGAGAGGTTGAGCAACTTGCTCTAGGTCACACAGCTAGTTAGTGGCAGGGCTCAAATTTGAACCTCAGCCCTCCTGGCCTCAGATGTTTCTGCTCTTAAACATCTCACCTCAGCAGCTCCCTAAACATCTGCTCTTAAACATCTCACCCAGGGATGGCCCTGGGTGGCGGCGCTCACCTGGACGCGCGCCTCGCTGAGGTTGACGCGCCTGGCCAGCTCCTCCCGCACGAAGGCGTCGGGGTAGTGCGTGCGCTCGAACACGCG